GAAAAAGTATGTGCAATTAGGTATTTTTAAAGAAAAACTTACCAAAAGGAGAAAGTGTGTGAAACTTTTAAATACATTCCAAAATGGAAAGTGTATGGAACTTTAAAATACGGAGGGAGTATGTTTGTAGAGGTTTTTAAGACATTGAGTTTGTTTATTTTGATTCTTGAAGTTACATTTGATAATATATCTTGAAATTACATCTTCTTCTGCGCAACTTACATCTTAATGTACGCGAGTTACATCTTAATATGCGCGAGTTACATTTTAATGTATGCGAGTTACACCACGGAATAAACCCCGGCTATATCATTTTTTAACCCTAATATTAAAAAACATATTCACTATTTATAAAAAAGTAATTAAACTGTTAGGATCAAGTTTTCATTGTTTACATTGAAATCAATGTTTATAATATCTCAAACACACACAAAAATATTGTTCAATTTTTGAACAAGTTACATTCCGTATACACCTAAGTTACATTTGCTATCAACGCAAGTTACATTTGTAATAACACGAGTTACATTAAAAAATCAACCTCTGCTATTGAAGCAAAAAAATGATCTTTTCTAAAAATTTATTTTTTATGGCCATGATATTAAAAACAGAACACATTCACATTTTACCCAAAACAATTGTGCAATTAGACTCTTTTTTTCATTGTTTACATTGAAGTCAATATTTTATTTCTTATACTATGTATTTTGACAAGTCACATTTCGAATGGGCTTAGGTTACATTGATCAATAACACGAGTTACATATCTTTACACGCGAGTTACATCATTCATGCTACTGGGAGTCTGAGACAAAAAAAAGTTACTGTACACGCGTGTACTGTTCTCGAGTGTACTGTTCACACGATTTTTTTTAAATTGTGCAAAACTACACCATTTTGGAAGTGGAGCATGATGCTCATGGTGGGCTGGTTGTACCGTATAGGAACTGCAAACTTAACCGTCATTGAAATTGACTGGATACAAATTATCCTTCCAGATAAAAAAAAAGTGGTCCAGTTGCCCGGTCAAGTCAAACAGAGCTTAGGACCAACGCTCAACGGGCGAGTTCTGCTACCTCCATCCAGCTCCCGGTTGCTCCGCCACCGCTCCACACGCCATCGTAGCTCAAGGAAAGCTTACAACCTCTGTAATTCTTAGTTCAGTTCTTGCTCAACCTCGAAGGTCCGTCATTAATGTCCACTCAAAGCTCTAGGAAGGACAGACTACCCCAAACCCATTGCAGGTGTCTCGGCCGGAAGTCTATGCCTTGTACAATACCTGTCTCCCAGCAACTCTGGTCTTTCTTGGTCCTAGCAACGCCGACTCCCGATCCTTCTTGAACATTTGATTTGACTTAAACTTATATGGTTGATTCTTCTTCTTGTGTGCTTGTTTCTATTAAGTCTGTTCATGTTTCGCTGTCAGTGTCATCTGTCTGTCTTGAACGTGATCCGGGGTTTCAACTTATTGATTTCAGTAGGTAGCTAGAAAGAAGATGACGTTGAAAAGAAACAGATGAATGGAATTAAGGAGATGGGAGTCGGCACTAGGAAAGAAGCTGAGGATGAAATTGAGGGTTTACTTTGATTTATCGAAAAACAGATGTGATTGTATATAGTAAAATGGCGGCTGTGAATAGAATTCCCCTTATGATAATGTTTTTAATTGGATTGATTGTAATTTCAAATAAGACAAGATATATTAGATTGGATCATAGACCAGAAAACCAGAATAGATTATATCAGTCTCCGACAGTGGACATTTATAAAATACACATACGATAGAAATTTACCATACCAGACAATCTAGACAAGATCACACTTGAATAAATCAGCCAAATCATTCGGTTGGGATTATAATTGTAAAACGAGTGAAAGTACATATTATTTGTGTCAATTTCACCATTTTTGTTTGAGGTTATAAAAGTGAAAAGTTTTTGAAAATTGAAATGTTGTAGTTACTTGATATAAGATGGTTGTTGGTTGCCATGAAGTAATACTTATCAATATAAAAATCTAAGACGACTTTTCCTATCAAGATTTCACCTATTCTCACTTAGATTTCAAATGTTTAAGGCTTAATCTCCATGTCTTGTTACGCCTCAACCTTTCAAAACAATAGATGTATCTGATAAAATGGAAATAAATACATAATAAAATTAAGAGAAAACTGTCAATTTAGTCCTCGTACTATCACCAAAAAGTCAATTAAGTCCTCACACTAAAAAAACAGTCAAATCCTCGGACATTGAAAAAATGTTCAATTGATATCATTCAGAGGGTTACCCGCCACATCATCAAGTCACATGCTGATGTGGCACACATGCGGTCCTGATGCGGAGGTCCAGTCAGCAACGACTTTTGTGACATGGTGCACACGTGGAGGCCTAGTCAGCCATTACGATGACGCGGCTCACTCATGGACTGTCACGTGTGTACCACGTAAGCCGGCGACCTGCTGACATGACATGTAACTTGCTAATTAACTTAATTGAACGTTTTTTCAAAATTCGAGAATTTGATTGGTTTTTTAAAGTATGAGGACTTAATTGACTTTTGTGTGATAATACAAAGACCAAAATGACAATTTTCCCTGAAATTAATTGCGACAAAAGGGAGGAAATCAAACCATTCGAGTAAATATTCTTATAGTATTATTACCTTTGTTGTCGTATTCATAATTTTGACCATCTTGTGAAATGCATCTGATGGATAAACGTTACCCATATTGTATAATTTAGGATAGATGAACAAGAAATGGAGGAGATAATTTGTGTATAATGAGTTAATAGTTTGATTGGGGTTTAAAAAATAGAGAAATAGTGGATCAAACTACTAACATGGGCCCAAAAGGTCCAAATATATAAAAAGCTAAGCTAGTACGGATTATATACATTGGAGGTGTAAACTATACAACAATATAAGTGTTCTCTGCTGCATCTACGTGGGCCGCTGTCCAAGCCCAATAATTGACAGGTCGGGGGTCAGAATTCATATACTCTATCAGCATGCTTATGTAAACAACATACAATTCTAAGACAGAAACCATTGGAAAAAAGAAATAAACCAATCTTTTTGTTTCTCTTATTTCCTTACCGGAATATGTGAGCACTCAATTCAAAACCTCTACCCCTATCACAAACAAGTACACAACCCATCTAGGCGCACTAAAGAGGATCTAAATTGATTGAATTCTATGACGAAATGAATTATCTATCCAAATACCTACACTAAAAATACACTCCAACCCCACATTATAACATCCCTATTATTTCCCCTTCCCTTTTCCCTACACAGTACACACACAGCTACACTTCATTTTGGGTTGGATCAAGGAGAGGAAGAAGATGATGGTGGGAAATGAAAGATAAAAAAAATAAACTAAACACATCTAACACATTGATATAGTTCAAGACAAATTCTACCGTACTTGTAAAACTCCACATTTTATCCACGTTGATCAATTAGATGATTACGATTGAATAATTCAAATATACATAAGTTATGAAATAATGCCTTGGATCGAACATTTCATTAAAACTACTACACTTTATGTTAGTGATTTTAGTGTCACCGACCGTTTTGTGTAATTGGAAATGACATGAGTGCCAATGAGAATTAGAACTATGATCTAATACAAGTTAGTAGGTGTGGAGTGCACACTTGTATATAAGAACTAGTTTAGTTCCAAAGTGTCTACATTAGTGGAACTCGAGGTAGAACTCGAGGTATAACTTTCAGTAGACCAGCTCTGTGGTTCTAGACCGAGTTCTAGAACGGTTAGGCAGTTTCCAGCAGTTTCCCAAAAACTGCTGCGGTTATTCTTAATCGTGTTACTACTGCCTAGGACGATGAATATGGATATATACCACCATATTTCGTACAGAGGAGGAGGAGGAAACATATCCAACATATCTTCATCACTTTGGCACTCAAATTAAAGATAGGAATCCATATACTCACTAGTTTGGCTCTAGTTCTTGTGCCTAAGTTCTAGAGTGTCCTTAAGGATTATCCTAGATTGAATTTCTTGTAACCCAGGCATCGGGGAGAAATATCAATTCGGAAAGTGAACTTACACGATCCTTAAGCAATCCAAGTACTCAAATTATCACCCCCTACGTGATTTACCCCAACACTTAACTTATTTGTGAGCTAGCATAACATTCGCGTAATTCAATCACACAAACAAGAGGGAATATTATTTCCTTCCTAGTTTCAGCCCTTCAAATCAAACATTAAAAAGCTATTTGTACATGAAATTTGTACAAATTTCATGCACATTGTAAGTAATTATCTGTGCACGCAGACAATGTGTACACATTTCATGCACATTGTAAGTAATTATCTGTGCACGCAGACAATGTGTACATTCCCTGGTTGCCTATGTACAAAAACGATTCGTGCAACATTGTCTTTATGCACAGACAATTATGTGTGCAAAATGTGTATAAATGTTGTGCAGAAGAAGAATTATTGAACATAACATTACCTTATATTTTGTTTCCAACTATCCATAAAGTCTAACACACATAGCAAAAATTGAGTCAACTTTAACTTGCATAGGACCTAGACAACTAAATGAGAACAATTATTATTCGGTCCCTCTAAATTCAAACGGTCATGCCCAATATCCGGCGTGACACAATATTCAGAGTTTTACTCGTAAACCCATTAATTAATACGTAGTACCCCGTAGTAATTTGCTGTAATTACTTGACTGTAATTTGTTGGTCTGGTCTGGTCTGGTTTGATCTGGTCTGGTCTGGTCTGAACTGGTCTGGTCTGGTCTGGTCTGGTCTGGTTTCTTTGTATTTTTATAACTATCCAAGTCTGGTCTGGTCTGGTCTGGTCTGGTCTGAACTGGTCTGGTCTGATCTGGTCTGGTCTGCTCTGGGACAAATTAGAGTCCAACTAAAAACATCCTAATTCCAATTGCTAATTGGGTCTGTAGTGATTTAGGATGTGCTTTGACTTGGATCAAGCCCAAAAATCATTTAGCGAGAGTCGGTGACCCGCAAATCATCTTCGGCTCTCTCTCTAGATCGCCTCCTTCACCTCATCTCAGACTGAAAATCGCACATTCACAGGCAAAAGGTATACATCATCTCCGGCTTATTCCGCAATGGGAAGAATCAAGTAATCCTGTAAGCAGAGGAGGAGAATAGCATTCAATTTTAACTCTTGTTTTTAGTTTGTTGAATTTGAATCTTTCGGAGATGAAGGATGATAGCGCGTTGCCGATGTCAGCTCCAACGGCGTATTCGGCATCATCGGCGCTTACTTCTGTGCATTCGAGGAAGGAGAAGGAGAACTCGTCTCTCTTCGGTCGGGGACGATACAAGTTCTGGGCTTTGGCGGCTATTCTTCTGCTTGCCTTCTGGTCGATATTCACCGGCACAGTCACTCTCCGGTGGTCCGCCGGCAATCTAAACCGTTTCTCAGACGAATTCGACATTCCTCTGAACGAAGATCTAGACGTCCTCGTGAGTGTCATAACTTAACCTTCTGGAACACTAATTTATTAGAATTTGATGAATTATTGAAGCTAGTGGATTGATATCTGGGCGGAAAAAATGTCTTCAATTTGACAGGAAATGGAGGAGAGAGAGAAGATGGTAAAGCACATGTGGGATGTCTACACTAATGGTCGTCGGATCAGATTGCCCAAGTTCTGGCAGCAGGCCTTCGAGGCGGCTTATGAGGAGTTAACCAGCGATGAGCCTGAAGTGCGAGAGACTGCCATCTCCGAGATCGCTAAAATGTCTATTCGCTCCATTTATTTTGAAGCCCCGCCTCTTCAAACGTTGGTTAGTTACCTACCTTTCATTCCACCACTCCAATTCATTGGGGCTAGGTATTCTTTCCCAATAGGGTGGGATTGAAGTTGTGAGGTGAAAAGCTGACAGTAGCTATACCATTAGAAATTGATATGTTTGGTAAAACAGGTTTGGTGATGAGATTTATATTCGTTATTTATAGTAGATTTACTAACTTAGGAGAATTAAGAACAAGTGAGCCGGAAGTTATGATCCAAAGGTATATATTTTGTAAAAAGAATCTCCCTTTGGTAAATTGTGGAGCACCACAAGACTTCCCCAGAGGAGTCCTTAGGTGCTTGGGTAAATCATTTAGGTTCTAACCATAAGCATGGTGTTGCGCGTTAAGCTTTTATATGCTAATGCTAATTATAAAAGAAAGTTAAGCCAAACTCAGGGATGACGGTTGGCAACAGCACCTGTCACCGCTACTACTAAAAGTGAGTTACCAAAGGGAGCTTAATAGTTGTCACTTGTCAGCTGTGAAAGTAATTGTTAATGCACTGTATAGTTAGAGCCTATCTGAGAAACACATTATTGGGATTTATTGCCACATTAGGTATGGCTTTGAGAGTAAATTCACGGGTCTTTATCAGAACTTGACCACTAGGGGAATTATATACTTCATATTACATGAGCCCACAACAACACCCAAGCCAGAGATGCAAATATGCTATAACTTTTATAATCAGAAAATAACCACTTGGAGCAACAGATTTCCCTTCATGTTTCCTTCAAGATTTCTGTTCTTCATGCATGTGTCTTCTCATGGATGGAATAACATTTCTATGCATGAAGTCATTCACATATTGTTTTTGTGCATGTGATATTGGAATTACATTCCTATTTCATAACTCTTTTATACCTAAGAAGAAGCCATGCTCTCTCATCATGAAGCGAAATACTATAAATATAGCACGTTTATTACTGGAGCCAGGCATGAGGCTTCCCAAATTCTTTTGGAAGAATTTGAGTGGGAGTCTTTTTAGGATGGCGCCTTAGCTTTGATACTGCATGTGTCTCTTTATTGAAAAGTGGATGTGCAATCAAGGCCAAAATTTATGTGTTGCGTTGTAAAGGGAAAGGGGACAGGAAGAGGTGGGGGTGGTGGGGTCTACAGCTCAGAGTAAGACCATCCAGCAGCCAGTCAAACACAGTGTATCACATTTATCCCTTCCGAGTTCCAAGCCAACATTACAATTTTCAATCACACCATATATTCTCCAGTCCCATTTGCTTTCACCAGGTCCTATTAGGGGTGCACACACAGGAGTCGGCACGGGTAATTGAGGTCAGGGTCAAATATTGGATTGGTTTTAGTTGGAAGAGTCTAGCAGGGAGGGGGAGGGTAGTAAATATTTTAAGGTGGGAGCGAATGGTAAATATTCTAGAAAAACGGGTACCCATACTGGACTGTTAAATTATTATATTATAGGGAAGAGATTGCATAATAACGATCCATTTTATTGAGCGTAAAAGACGAGTGAGGATAATTGTAATTCCCCATTAATTGAATGAATAAAGTAAATGTTCATAAGACTTTAGAGACCATGAAATTTTCTATAATTAATCATTCCGTAATAAATTTTACTTCAAGATTACATCTTATTAGAGTTTTTTAACGATGATTTTAGATTTTTTTAAACTATAGGAACCAAATACTGACTTACTGAGGCCACACAGGTTCAATTAAAATGTAGCGAGCTCAGTTTGTCTACTATGATGTGAAAAGATGTACCGGTCTACCCGTTTAAACTAACTGACAGTTAATTCTAGTTCAGTGTCCAGACCCGGCTCAGCTCTAGGTATTATGCGAACTTTGCACTTCACCTTTACCACCATCAGTTATAATGCATAATATTTATTGGAAATATTTAAGTGAGGAAGTTCTACGTAAGGCGTCTCTATCAGCCCATTTGACTGAGGAATTAGATACCTTTTCCTTTATGCAGCTGGCACCTGCACTGCTAATTCCATTTTCGCTGTCTCTCTCAAAATGCTTATATTTCATGACTGTTTGAAGGGTCTGTTCGTAGTGGCTGGTGGGAAGTGTTGTATTTAATTTTGTTGGTCACATGAATAACACATGTGAAGGGTCACTTGTGAAATGGAAACCCGCTTGATCTTCCACCGACTGTCTGAAGAAAGTGAGTTGTCAAATCAAATTGTTTTCCTCTTGGAGAAGGAAAATGATTCTCATGGAGAAAATTAGAATCAGATTCCACGGAGAGTAATCTGTTGTGTACCGGGTTCGTTGCGTCACTGGAATAAATTAAAAAGGGGCGGTGGAAATTTGGAGAATTTTTCTTCTCCTTTGAATTAAGAGTTTTCCATTTCTTCTTGATTTCTTCTCAACTGTTTCTTGGACATGTTATTAGTGTAGAAAGCTCCCTTTTATAATAGGGGTTACATACATGTATATGAATGTGGAAAACCCTAAAATGAAAGAGAAACCCTAGCAAAACACTTCTAAAATAGATTAACAAATGGATGTTTTAATAATAGATCAGAATAAAATCAATCAAGCAAATCAATCAGCTATGACTCCTCATTGGAAGCAGCGAATGCCCGCTGCTAAAGCAGGGGGCATTCGTGTATACATCTTTCCCAGGCTAAAACCTGGGAAAGATGCTGCTTTTGTGTTCATGTAATCTTATGCTAAGCCATTATTTTGAAATTGTATTTCATTTCAGGCAATTCAGGAGTTGGCTAAAGCAAATAGAGTTCCAGGAAATGATCTTAGTAAGGAGTAATATACTATCGCATAGAATGGTCATGGATCACAGAAGTATGCATTCACGTTTATCACGGTGTCACAGAAAACCAATCCAGTTATATGCCTGCAATCAGCTATCTGAAACGGTAGTTTGGGGTAGGAAACTATTCTCGGGTTCGTTTCTTTTGTAAGAGGCCAAAAGATCAATGTATTTACTTAGGTTTTCATTTTCCCCCAACTTTCTTTTTTCCCACTGTTTTCATTTAATTAATTCATTAAATGGAAAATATTACTCCGTATGTTTCAAGGTCACTTCCACTCTAAGGGCTTGTTTGCAAACTATTATTTTAAGTGCTTTTGGCTTTTTTTTTTAAGAAAAAAACACTTATTTTACCAAACAATACCAACTTTTACTTTCTCGGTTTTCGTGTAGAATCTACTTTTTACTTTTTCTATTACACAAAAAGCACTTATTTTATCAAACACTACCAACTTTTACTACTAATCACTTGTTCCCAAAAAGTACTTTTATTTAAGAGTTTTTTTCAAAAATAATGGTAAACAATAAATTATTTACATAATTATGGTTTAGTTAAAAATATATACCAAACTACTGCCAGAATAACTAGGGTTAGGAAAACAGATGAAAGCCGCCAACTGAGTACGGAACAATAGCAACAGATGGAGCAGTAAGCGTGTGTAGGCGGGACCCCCATTTTTTTTTTAAACTCTCTTTTTTTAAAAATTGATATAACTTTTGGATTTATAATCTGTTTTTTATATAATATATATCAAAATTCATTATTTTTTATTATCTTTCATATGACACCAATATTGCATATATAAAAATAAAAATAAATTTGAAGGCACAATTCGTGTATGATTTTAGGTTTAAAATTTTTCTTGAGTGGATCAAGGTTTTAAAATTAAGATTTCACGATTCCATAGTACAAAAAGAAGATAGAGTGTAAATGTGAGATTATTATGGGATTACATAAAGGTAGGATTATAATGAGAAGACCAGTGAAAGGTGAGATTATTCTTGTCAATTTTTCCTATGAAATATAATGAAAAATTATGAAAAGATACTGAACCCATTAAAATAATAAAGTATTAAGAATTTTTTTGTGGAAATCGAAATACTAATATTCTACATCTGTCCGTTTTATATTGGAACGGAAGAGGTTGACACGATTATTAAGAAAAGTGGGTTTGTGCGATTGATATTAATTGATAAAGTAAGAATAAAGTAAAAATGATTTAGAACCGCACAAACTTTACAACTATGATATGAGGCAATTTTAGGGAGAATATCTTGAAAAGGTAAAACAGGACAATATAAGGGGATGAGGGAGTAATAGTTATAGCAAAGTTGAAGAAAAGATTTTTTTCTTATATTTTGGGTCCCACCTAGCCTTCCGGCTTATTAGCCGATGTTGCTAACCGTTGTATTTTGAATTTTAAACGTAAGTCATTAATTGAGTTTGCATCTTTTCAAACCACTCAAATTGAATCAACAAAATAAATAACTACCACAAGCATTTTCTAGTGACATTTTTAGCAAATAAATAAAATTAAATGTCCCATAGTTCTAGCTTGAAGTTGTGCTATAGAAACGTGAAATCTTAATTTTAGAACCTTAATCCACTCAAGAAAAATTTTAAACCTAAAATCATACACGAATTGTGTCTTCATAATTATTTTTATTTTTATATATCCACTATAGGTCTCATATGAAAGATAATAAAAAGTTATAAATTTTGATATATTATTTATAAAATTCAGATGGTAAATAAAAAAGTTATATAAATTTTAAAAAAAAAGATTTTTTTAAACTGGGGGTCCCACTTTCACAAGCTTACTGCTTCCCATGTGTTGCTATTGTTCGGTACTTACGGTTAGATGCATAAGTCATGAGTTGGCAGCTTTCGTTCATTTTCCTAACCCTAGTTACTCTACCAGTAGTTTGGTATATATTTTTAATCAAACCATAATTATGTAAATACCTTATTATTTAGCATTAATTTTGAAAAAAACTCTTTATTTAAGCACAAGTGGTTGCAAAGAGAGCCTAAACTGTTCTACGATCAATTCCTGATCGCCTTGATAGGGATTCTTACTGAACTGATTGAACCCAAAAAGTAGAAAGTAAAATTGTTCACGATATTTGTATTTTTGGATAATGATAGACTCTAGAGAACTAATATACTGTTACGTTAGAAAACAAATATACTACGTATTTATCAACAATCATTTGAAACAACAAAACACAAATTAAAGTTGGAAGAAATATAACTTACAATAGTTGAGTACGGAGGTTCTCTAATGTACTGTTAGGTGTTATATAGTAGTTCTAATTGTTGGGCGTGTTTCGAAAACAAAGAAAATTAATTAATAAAAGTTAATTAAATAAAATGACTAAACGAAAACAGAAAATAGATGAAGTAGAAAAAGTCAAAGCTCGTACTACGCACGATTTCTTTAAAACGTATTCATTGCCTCCCGGGGTGTTAGTAGCGTTGCAACGACCGTTTCCCAGTATATGATGATTATGAGCTATTCGTTGACCACTCAACCGAATAGTTCCAAGTTCCAACGAACAAGAACCAAGCAAGAACACAGAGGCAGTTTTCAGAAATGACTCCGTTTTGAGCGTACTATATATCGAATTGTAGCTCTAAGCAAGAACAATTCGAAACCAATTTGACCCGACCCAAATCGGAAGTGGACCCCACTCAAAAAATTGTCCCAAAATGAACATTTAATGCAATTTTAACACATTTTTCCAACACCACTTTTACAATTTTTGTGTTTAGTTTCTTTAAAAAATTGAAATGTAAGTTCTTTTCTTTCTGAGTTGTAATTGAAGAGTATATCGTTCTCTCTCCGTACACGAGTTAGTAGTTACCCTTAATTAATTCTCCCGTTTAATGAAAAAGGGCAATGATGCATTTACAGTTTATCACATCCTTGGTCTGAGTCCATTTTTGGATTTAGATTTAATCTTTTCAATCTGTTCATCTGTTTGCAGTGGCGGAGGAGGGGGGGGCCATCCTGGGCCATGGCCCAGTGCTACTTGGTCTAGTCTCCATTAGGAATAGTAAAAAAAAAAAAAATTTAGAGTAATGGCCCAGTGTCCAAAAAAATAGGCCCAGTACAATTAAATACTCCAGCTCAAAACCCATTCAATTACTCCAGCCTTCGTTAATCGGCCACAGACTAAGCCACTAAGGTGAGTACGGTCTACGGCCTACGGGAGTTCAAAGAAGAGGGAAAATGTCGTAGCAGCGCCGCTGGAGCCCGGAGGTAGAAACGACCGCCATCTGCCGTCTAGGCGGCCGGAATTTCCGGCCTGTAGTGTCCGCCATGTGCCGCATATCTGCAATTTTTAGGTAAGTTTCTTACCCTAATTTCTTAAATTACCAATTCAGTAATTTGTAATTAGTTATTTATTTGGGCTATTGTGTATTTGTGATTCTGTGAATTGTTAATTGTGTTCCTAGTTCCTAATAAATTGAGTGTGTAAGTGTGTTCGTGACTATATGTCTTCATGCCTACTACCTCTGTATGACTCTATTTGAATAGGGCTATTATATTAATAAATAATTTACTGATTTCTAATTAGTTTGTACTTTACTAATTTGTAAATTGTAATTAGTTCATGATTTGGGATATTGTGTATTTGTGAATTGTTATTTGTCTTCCTAATTTCAAGTTAAAGTAATTAAATTGTTCGTTTACTTTGGTTTTAGATTTACTTATTACTCCGTATTATTTATTAAAGTATTACATATGTTGATGTTATAGAAAATAATGACCACTCCACAACCTCCCAAGAAAGCCAAAGTAGCCAAATCAACTTTGCATTCTTATTTTAGCCACACTGCTCCAACAACAAGTGTACAAGCTGAAAACCCGGTTCCGAATGAGCATGAAGAATCTTCTCATGTTCAAAATCAAATATCTTCTTCTGTGATTGAAATAGAACGGGATCCTGGTAAAAGAAGAAAAATATGTGATTGGCCTTTTCAGAAAAGAGATGAAGTTAGGCGGTTATATTTGGTGGCTGGGCCTTACCAACCAAAACTGCAGCTCTATAAAGGTCGACAATATAAAGACAAAATTCGACGTTTTCAACCAAATTGGTTTAATGAATTTAATTGGCTGGAATACTCTCCAACAACACACAAGGCATATTGCTTTATGTGCTTTCTGTTTTGTGATGATGTGCATGCCTCCAATACCTCTGCATTAGTCCATATTGGATTTGATAACTGGAAGAGAGTTCATCAAGGCAAAGCTTGTGTATTTTTTCTTCACACGGGTACATCAGCTTATTCTCCTCATAATAAATGTGTGACATGTGCTGATTCTCTAATGACTCCAGCTCAGCATATTGATAAAGTGATTGAGAGAGTTAGCAAAGAAGAAGTCTTAAAAAATCGTTTAAGATTAAAAACATCAATCATGACTGTGCAGTGGCTAGCGTTACAAGGTTGTGCTTTTAGAGGTCACGACGAGTCTGAAAAATCTTTGAATCGTGGAAATATGATAGAACTGATTACTTACACGGCAAAGTGGAATGAAGAAGTCAGAGAAGTTGTATTGGGTAATGCTCCCAAAAATGCCAAATACACTTCACCTGATATCCAAAAAGAAATTTTGTCTTTAATGGCTAATAGAGTTCGCCGTATGATACGTGAAGAAATAGGAGATTCGTGTTTTTGTCTTCTTGTTGATGAAGCAAAGGATGAATCTGATCGAGAGCAAATGGCCATAATATTGAGATTTGTGAATGTTGCTGGTATTTTAACAGAACGTTTTTTTGCTATTAAAGGTGTTGCTGAAACTTCTTCAGAAACACTAAAGCATGAGATATGTGATGTTCTTTCTCACTACAACCTGCAAGTCCATAAGCTACGGGGGCAAGGATATGACGGTGCTAGTAATATGCGTGGACAATGGAACGGATTGCAAGCACTATTTCTGAATGATTGTCCTTATGCATACTATGTGCATTGTTTTGCTCACAGGTTGCAATTGACATTGGTGGCTTCAGCAAAACAATGTGATCCTGTTTGGAGATTTTTTTCCATCTTGGATAAAGTAATTAACATTGTCAAATCTTCTGCTAAGCGCAACACAGAATTACAAGCTACTCATAGAGCTGAAATTGACATTCTGTTGGGAAGTGGGGAGCGGGAATCTGGACGAGGAGCCAATCAAATGTCTTCTTTACAACGTTCGGGTACAACTCGTTGGAGCTCTCATTATGATTCTGTTCTTAGTATGATAGAATTATACAATGCTACTTACAAGGTACTTGAGAATATTGCTTGTGATGGACCGAATCCTAAGGCTCGAAATGAGGCAGATGGAGCTTGCACTAGCGTGAAGAGTTTTAATTTTGTCTTTGGCTTGCATGTAATGAAAGCTATTATGGCTATAACTGATTTTCTTTGTCAAGCATTTCAAAAGGAATCAGTGGACATATTATCAGCGATAGGATATGTTTCAACATCCAAAACTCTTCTTCAAAATCTAAGGGATGATGGATGGGACAATTTGTTGAAACAAGTTGAAGAGTTTTGTTTAAAACATAGCATCACTATCCCAGACATGAAGAGCAAAATGCGGCGCGGGCGGAGTGAGATGGATCTTGAGCATTATTACCGCTTTGAATACTTTACTCAATCCATAGATTATCAAGTGGCTGAGTTGAATTCAAGATTTAGTGAGAAATCTGTTAGACTACTTGAGCTCAGTGTGGCATTGGATCCGAGCAACTCCTTTGAATCCTTTAATGCCGATCATATTTATAAGCTTGCAGTGGAGTTTTATCCTGATGATTTTGAGCAACATGAGCGAAATGCTTTAATGAGTGAACTGACATATTATCATGCTCACGTGGTTCAAAATTCTCAATTCGAGGTTCCTACTCTTTCACGTTTATGTGAAATGTTGGTGAAAACAAGAAAGGCAGAAGATTTCAAGATGTTGACAAGATTGATACGTCTTGTGTTAACATTACCGGTTTCCACGGCTACAACTGAGAGAGCATTTTCAGCAATGAAACATGTGAAGACAGCAATTCGCAACAAAATGGCCGATGAATTTCTTGCTGATAGTTTGACAATCTTCATTGAAAGGGAACTTGTTAGTACAATAGATATTGACTCTCTAATCGATGAATTTGCTAAAGTAAAAGACCGCAGAGTGCAATTGACTTTCTAGTTTGGTGCACCATATTGGTAGTTGTTTTGTTGTAATAAAATTTGTGATGCACTTGAAATTAATTTATTACTACACTTGTGTTTAAAATTTTTTTTATTCAAATCCGGCCCAGCCCTTTATCGGCTCCTGGCTCCGCCCCTGTCTGTTTGTGTCAAGTCGCATGACAGACTGACAGAGGATATTCATTCCACATAATCCACATCCCACACTTCGTATTTACAAAAACAATCAAACCTTAATCCCATGCTCCCTCAGTCCCGTAATTAAGTTCCTATTTTCTTTTTTGAGATGATCCTTATTAAAGTTCTTACTTCAAACCTTTCCTTATTTGGAAAATGATTTAAACCAAAAAGTGTCAAACAGTGCCAAACAGTGTCCAAACAGTGCACTCCACAGTAAAGTCAAATTTATTTCTTAATATGTGTGAAGTCAAACCAGGAACTTAATTAAGAACCGGATGGAGTATTTTCTATTTGTCAAGAAAAATTTTAAAATATTAAGATTGGTACATTAGTGTTGATCATAATAGACATGATTAATCCAACATAAACGAGGTGTTGAACTTCATATGAAGAGGCAAATTCTTCCAACGTTTTCGTTGCACTATGATCAATTTTGCTATGCATCCTCAACACCGACTGTCCGACTCATTGAGTGATGAATCACTCACGCATTTCAGTCAGTAGTAAATATTTGTTACATACTGCATTACTGCGTACATATACCGTGATATACGGAGTAATATATGATTTAGAAATAAGTAATTATTTATAACTTACCGAAGTTGTTTAGAAAAATGTGACCTCTCAAGCGTAGAAACTATACCAGTAATTTTAGTTCTAGTTAATTTATATTTAATTTTAATACTCAAGTGGTCATGACACGAACTTATAGTCTATTTTTGTAAATAAGTTTAGATTCAATAATACTCTTAAAAACCTTCATTTAAGACTGCTCTTCATAATAATTTCAAATTGATTATTTTTTTATTTAAAGTACAAAAGAGGTATTTAAATAAAGGTTTTTTCAAAAATGTTACCGTGAAACTAATTAGTTACTCCCTCCGTCCCAATTAAGTTCCTGATTTGACTTCACATATATTAAGAAAATAAATTTGACTTTATTGTGGTGTGCACTGTTTTGCACTGTTTAAACACTGTTTGACACTGTTTGACACTGTTTGTCACTGTTTTGATGTAGATAATTTGTCAAATAAGGAAAGTATTAAAGCGTGAACTTAATTTAGAGACTGCCCAAAAAGGAAAGTGAGAACTTAATTGGAGGACGGAAGAAGTATTTTTTATGCGTATCAGACGGAACAAGAAGACAAACGACACTATTCTGCTTGGTTATTTTACATATTCAACAACATCAAAACACATTAACAGGAAAACACATTACAAGTAGGCTTTAATATTTTATTTAAATGTAAACATGTCACATTAAAACTATATGTACATTCTCAAAAGAGGAGTACAATCAATGTAATTTATTTTAAAGAAAGGTGGCTTATATTAATATCACATCATTCAGATATGGGCTAAATCGACAAATGCCGACTCTCGAATCAGACTCAGAATTAATCACCTCAATAGAAGCAATATAACTCGTTGATCCATTAATGGGCACAATGGAGCCAAAGACGATCACCGCAGACTTCTTGTCACCCAAATCCAATCTCACAGTCTTACGATACAAAACAATAAAGAACTGAAAATAAACACAATACCCAACAACATAGAATATCAACACAACAACAAAATAAATTTCTTGAACCCTAGCACCTAGTTCAACCCCTGACGGTGGTTCATGAGGAGGCCGGACCATCGCTATGATTGTTGACATGAACAAGACACGACTCCAAACCCTAGCGCAGAAGGCTCTGCTCCCATCCGTCACACGGTTGGTTACCTGCCGAGCAACCTTCATTTGTCCCACCTCATTGAAACACCGATGAAGTCTTGCGCCAAGGAAGCATACTAGGCCGATCGTCGCCTGCCAAGCTCCCTTCATCTCTCCCGTGCTAAATCTCTTGCCGCTCACCCCTTTGCTATCTCGCACGAAACAAACTCGCGCAACCAAAACATATAACCCGATGGGATAAGACAATCCCTGTGCAATCCTCTTAGCAAGCCCTTTGTCCTTCGTATGAACCCTCAACAATCTTCACTTCGAATTAACCGCTCTTCGGGTCGAAACTGAGAGTGAGAGAGAGAGAGAGAGAGAGAGAGAGAGAGAGAGAGAGAGAGAGAGAGAGCAGATCTTCTAACTAGTTCGAAGGCAAGAAAAGTTGCAAAAAGCCTCGCCACCATGGATGCCGCAAATCATCCTCCTGTGCATTGGCGATGTTTACCCGGCACCTTGGCCGGCCTCCCCCTTGAAGTTGCTCTCTCTCCCCGTCTCACGATCTTAAATTTAATCAATGTAAAATTTTAAATATGAGCATTTCCTTTTTTCTCTAAATAGAAGTATCACAAGTATCCTCCATAAGATTTGGCTTCTTTCTCTAGGGCTTTTGATGTATAGTGATAAGTCCGTATTTAGACACACATTTGATGCGTGTTGATATCGGCTTTTGATGGTTTTCCTAGTTTTAAGGTGTCACAAGTCTCAATTTTAGCTCAAGTTATGTTTAACAGACGCTGGTTCGAGTTTTGTATCATTTGGAGTCAAAATCAGTAAATTTGAGACCGGCACCGGCGCTTGAGAAGCAATTAGGATGAGTTGAGAAGCATTAGAGAGTGAATTGAGAGCATTGGAGGTCTCCGTAACGTTCACGATGAAGATTTGATGACAAAAGAGCTCTATGATTGGCTACGGGATCAAAAGAAGACGAAAAGAGCTTGAAAATGGCGATCAGGATGACCTTCTGTCAATCGTTCAAGCATATCTCCTTGTAGAAACATCCAAAGAACACGACTCAAAGTCCATGTGAAATCTAACTTCAAGGGCTACAAATCATATGAAGACACCTTTGCGAGAATCGGAGGGAAAGAAGGTGAAACAGACGATGAAGTCAGATGATCTCTGCTGCGATTTCAGAATGATACCTTCCACCATTTTGATCATATCTCTTGATTGAATAATTCAAATCACATTCGTCAAATTGGGGTGGATAGAGGACTTCATTATCTAAAACGTTCATGCAGGAAGCATTTCCAAATTCGGAAGTTAAGTAGGCACGATCGTGCCCTCAAAGTTAGGCACGATCGTGCGTGAAGAGAAAGCATCACAGAGCTATTGTCAGTCAGGCACGATCGTGCCTGCCCAAAATGCGTGTTTTTGCTCCGGAGGCACGATCAAAGGCACGATCATGCCTGTCGTCGTGCCTGCCTCCAGAAATCCCATTCCAACTCAAATTTCACCCGATTTTTCTATTTAAACAGCCTGTAAACCCCCGTTTTGAAGAGGGGAGCTTAGAGAGAGTGCCTAGCACGAATTTTAGAGGGCTTTTCGGCCTTGTTCATCAATCTTTTGGGATTCTTTGTAAGTTCCACCTTTTTAATTAATGACAATTAATTCTTTTTATTCCAATTCTATTGATTCTTCAATTATGAATTGTGAGTAGTTTTAATTAGGGATTTAGGATTGATGAAGGGGTTGATCATGATGTATGGCTAGATTCCTTTCGGTTTAATTGCATGAATGTCGTTTAATTTGTGTTTGAATAATTTAACTGATATCTCTTGTAACCTGGAACGGCCGCTAGAATTACAATTGCTTGTAGAATAAATTAAGAGAGATCTAATTTATTCTAGGACACATTCACACACACTTAATCGTTCGCTAAGAGATTAGTAGCGATTAAGGGGCTGTAAGCTCGCTCGTCTTGGCAATAATTTAGGATCCTGTCGCATGAGAGATCAGCCCGGTCCCCTAATTTATTGTACTCTACGCCGCGAGAGCGGTAAGAACTTAGTAGTGATTAGCTAGGCTCAATTAAATCAATTTCATGTAATTAGGCCTGATCAGCCAGAAATCTGGTTACCCCGGAATCAATTCCTATTCCCTTCGTTATTAATTAGAAAGAACCCCCTAGTTTAATCGTTTTATTCACATTTTTTATTTTCCAGCAACCAATCTCGCACGACACATTTTTATTTATTTCTTTTTAATCGCTGAATTTAGTTAATCTTTGATACCCTTTTGTCCGTCCCTGTGGAGGCGATACTCGTACTTATACCACTATATTACAATCTATTTTAAGTGCAAGAAAACACACATCAAGTAGTTTTTTTTTTCGTTTTCGGCAATGCCGAAGAACAGCCGTCACTCTTGGTGGATAATCCAAGGCTATTTCGCGATCTCCGTTCGACGCAGGTGTGCAGGCAGAGTGCTGCGGAATCGAGTCGGCAAGGCTAAAGTCTCAGCGTTGTTTCCAAATCGACCGCACGACAATGGTTTCGTGAACACTCTGAAGGCTTTAATGGACGATAATGTGAGGGTCTGTTTGCAACAGCTTCTACTTTTAAAAAAGTGCTTTTTTTAATGAAATGGGGAGATGTGATTAAATAAAAGTTGATAGTGTTTGAGAAAAAAGTGATTTTGAAAAGTAAAAGTGGGTAGTGTTTGGTAAAATAAGTGCTTTTTTTTGTAATAGAAAAAGTAAAAACACTTTTGACGCGGAAGTCGAGAAAAAATAAATGTTGTAGTGTTTGGGAAAATAAGTGCTTTTTAAAGCCAAAAGTTGAGAAGTGCTTTTTTAAAAGCAGTTGTAAACCAACCCTGAATCACTTCAAGAAGATGGTTATTGTAGAGGAGGACAACGAACTGAATTTCGATGAAGGAGGCGGGAGCATGTCCCTGGACAGACCAAAAAATGGGGAGGCGGCGGTTCCAAGCTTCTAGACCCGCTGGACGTGCGACTGGTATTCCTGGTCAAGAGAACAAGTTATGATGTTTATTTTTTTGTTGTTTTGCATTTTAATTTCCAGGTTAAGCGTGTCGTCATTTATTTTTATTTTATTTCTTACTGTAAGACTCTTGCATTAGGATTGGGTGACGAGCGGTATGTGGTAACCGTCTTTGGCTCAATTATGCCCAAGTTAGGATCAACGAGTTATATTGCTTTGTCAAAGGTGATTAACTATGAGTCTGGTTCA